TTTTTTTTTTCATTTTTCTATCTTGAGGGCCCCTAAAAGATCTCGAAGTGACATACGGCATCATGTGTAGGGCTGTTAGCGAAGTATTGCTATACTCTCAGAGGAGTCCTTTTTCACTGTTTATAGTAACCCTTGGCGAAATATATAGATCTTTTAGATAAGGAGATTTACGTCCATCGAGAGTTAGTTTAATATAGTAAGTTTAATATAATTTAAATTATATTAAATATTTTATTTCTAAAAAATAAATAAAAACACTTGATTTTTTGGGTTAATTGGCAGTTTGTCAGTTTGAAGTGCATTCTTTCTTTTTTATGGACCGGTTTCGAACCCGTTCCTTGACAACTTATTCAAAAAATAAAAATAAAAAGTTTGTTTTTTATAAAGAGAGAATGTTGTAGTTTAGTTTATTTTGTGCAAATTAACTGACTTTTAACATTGATGGAAGGATGAGTGTCTGAAATCTGAGAGTCTGTCCCCTTCATAAAAAATTAATGAAGCCTACTTCGTGGAGGATGGGTTGCACTTTATTTTTTTTATTAAAATTAAAAAAATTAATTTTATTTTTATCATTAATGTTAGATACTAATATTTTTAATAGAAGATTGGTAAAGATGAAGTTATTTTTTTTATTTATTTAGCATAAATTAATTTAAAAAATATAATTAATATACTTCTAAAACACAAATTATAAAACATAAATAAATTATATATATTATATCATATTGCATTTTGTAACATAGACTATATATCAAGCTGTAAAACGGCACAATTGAATATGGAGTCATTCTCCATATTCAGGGACCCCTCGTTCATGAATGACTTCTTTTGTGCAGTTCAATGTACCTAATTTATATTGTATAAAACATTTGTAATATTATGAGAATCTTGTTTTATAATTTAAATTATACTTAATTATAAAATAAAAATAATTAGATGAAAGACAATTCTTTTATTAAAAATTTACTTCTTATGTAAGAATTTAAATTATACAATTTAAACTATATAATAATTTTTTATAATATTATATATACTCACAAGTAATTTGGTATTTTAACAAGTCACTATTCCAATTAATAAAGCCTGAGGTCAACTTAAGTTGGATTAGTTGAGTCTAGCTCGAGGTTCAGTACCTCAATACTCAGTTTAAATTGATTAGTTCACTGCTGTAGACATATGTAGATGAGCAGGAAAACAAAATCAATATATTTATGATGGAAGATGCAAATCCCGACGAAAACGCATAATAAGCCAAGAGCATGTGTAGATTTCGTAGGTAAACAGTTACTTTGGCGTTGTGCTCTGTGTTTTATTGAATACGAACATTATTTAATTTGTTTTGGTAAGGTTAAGAATTTGATTCCCTCTTTTGAATAGTATTTTTCTGAAGAAAACATAACACTGAGGACAAAGAATTTGTTCCCCAAATAAAGATCCAATATTCAACCTTCAAAGTAAAGTAAAATGATACATGACCAGGACTCGATTCGTAAATGAGACAATGAAAAAGTAATTTTAAGTAAATTCTATCTATAATTTTGATATATAGATTATTTGCGTAATTGTTTTGTGTTTTTGTCTATTTTTTTGTTGAAAATAGGAAGAGCAGGTTCCTCACCAAGCCATCTAACTTTGGAAGTGCGTCTCAACATAGCAAGAGGAGTAGCACGGGGACTGGCCTACATTCATGAGAAGAAACAAGTGCATGGCAACATCAAACCGTCCAACATCCTCTTGAACTCTGACTTGGAGCCAAAACTTAGCGATCTTGGTCTAGACCGACTCTTTGGGGTCAATGCCAACTACAAAGCAGATGGTTCAGACCGGTTCTTCGGCAGCCATCGGTCCGCAATGTCTCATGATGGACCACTAGACCACTCAACTGGTTCAAGCCCTTACACATCCGTTGCCTCATCCACAGGGCTTGCACCACCATATCAAGCTCCAGAGTCACTTAAGAACCTCAAGCCAAACCCTAAATGGGATGTGTATTCTTTTGGTATAGTTTTGCTTGAGCTTCTCACAGGTAGGGTGTTTACAGATCGAGAGCTTAGCCAATGGGCCATGGTGACTGGTTCGGTTGGGGAGGAGGAAAACCGGATTTTGAGATTGACTGATGTGGCAATTAGGGGAGAGGTGGAGATCAGGGAGGAGACCATGTTGGCCTGTTTTAAGTTAGGATTCCGGTGTGCTTCCTTTTCGCCTCAAAAGAGACCGTCTATGAAAGAAGCAGTTCATGTCCTGGAGAAGATATCCCTCCCATTACTTTGTGCTAAGTAATGATGTATTCGGGTCCTACAAAAGTTAGCCGTTGGTCTAAAAGTGTTTTCTTTCGGTTTCTTTTCTTGTTTTTTGGCTTTTGACTTCAAAGTTGCATAAAGGGCAGACTTGTCTTGTGTTTAACCTAATTAATCTTATGTATATAACATATAAGTTTTTCTATATTAATAAGAAAAATTTTAAATCTTATATCTTGAATTAAAAAAAAATAAAAATAAAAGGAAAAGGTTGATTTATTTATTTAGTTAAATAATTTGAAAATTTAAATTTTAGGGGACAAAATCCGAATTAAAATGCCTGGGAAAAAATATCCAGATAAAAACAAAATTCAGAAGCAAATTGGGGAATTCCCTACCACTAAAGAGTGCGCCCAAGACCTTTGACACATATACATAGATATTTATTTATTTAGAGTACCCGTGATACCCTATCACATATACATGGATTCCTTTTCAACGCCTATTACGGACTGAGCAATTTCGTTTTCAACATTATAGGGTTGAATTCCTTCCCTTATTTGTCACAGTATCCCTGTAATTACCTCTTGCTCATCCTACTTCCCAACACTCTTTATTATAAGAGTTATTCATTATTGAACAAAATTTTAAAACACGGATTAATGAGACTTATATATCCAATATATCTTTCATGTTTTGTAGATATGAGATTTGGTTAGGGGTGTTGTTACATCTCCTTTAAAGACTCATTCATTTCTACTCAGCCAGCTATATAGTCCATAACATCACAAACCAAATTACTTCCCAGTACTTGCTCAATTTTCTGTTCTTCCTAGTTCATACATGTTGTACAAAGCCATACTTTAGATCACAGTGTAGCACATAATCTAAATTCCACCACAGCAAACACTTTAACGGCAATGATTGGGCAAATTTACAGTTCAGCAATAATTTCTATATTTTCTCCACTTACCCACAGACAGTTTCATTAAGATTTGGCTTAATTTAATTTTTAATCTATTAACTATCACCTTGATTTCATTTTAGTCTAAAAACTATGTTTTATTTCTAAGTGGTCTATTAACTTTCAGATTTATTTCAATTTCGTCTATTTGGTTAAAGATAACGGAAAACCTGTTAGAGAACAGTTAGTCCTTTGACTATATTTTTTTGATCTTTTAGTCCTTAAATTTATATTTGTTATAAAAATAGTTTTTTTTACTTAAAATTATTATTTATAACCTCTGATACCAGATTTTCATACGGGTTTTCCTATTTCTTTAATTTGGTATCAGAGCTTAAAAGTTAATAGACCACTTAGAAATAATAATTTTAAGTATAAAAATCTGGTATCAGAGTTTAAAAATAATAATTTTAAGTATAAAAACTATTTTTATACCAAATATAAATTTGAGGACTAAAAGATAAAAAATATATAGTTAAAGGACTAATCGTTCTCTAACAAAATAGGAAGTTTTCCGTTATCTTTGACCAAGTAGACGAAATTGAAATGAATTTGAAAGTTAATAGACCACTTAAAAATAAAACATAGTTTCTAGACTAAAATGAAATCAAGGTGATAGCTAATAGACTAAAAATTGAATTAAGCCTTAAGATTTTGAATAGTACCCTTTTCTCATCAAGTTATCTTAGGTGAAGTCTATTCAACAATGTTTGCCACACAAATGCACATACCTTGCAAGGTGCTAGGGGATGCCAACATTTGTTGAAGCTAAAACTCTCCCTAGCGAGCAGTTGTTGCTTGAGTCAAGGAGTTAGTAACTTTTTCCAAACTTAGGTTGTGTTTGAGGTTGTAGTTGGGAGTTTTTTCATGTAACTACATATTACTTTTAGATATATATGTATTTGGTAATTTTTTTTAGATTGTTTTTTTTTTTTAAGTTATAAAAAGTTAAAGCAGTTCTATAGTAATTTTATATATAAAACCAAAAACTTCATTTTGGAGCTTTTTGGCTGTAGTTTTACGGAAAACACATAATATTTAATATAATTATAAAATTACCCATTAAAATCTAATTTTGTATAGTTTAATTACATCATAATTTATAATATTTTAATAATAATAACAAATTTAAAAAACTTAGATTATTAAAAAAATAATTAATATTATCTATTTTAATAATTACATATCTTTCAATATTTTTTAAATTTTAATTAATAATTAATAAAATCTATTACATTTCATTCATAATACTTTTAAAAAATAAATAACCAAATACCAAAATAAATAACCAAATACCAAAATAACTTTTAATTGCAACCAGCGGCGGAAGCACGTTGGCCTAGGGTTAGGCATAGGCCCTATCTTGGGCCAAAAAAATTTGAAGAAAGTAAAGGACCTAATTGGGTAGGTCTTACCTTGTAGTTGGATGAATTTGAAGAAAATAAAATATTTAGGATTTTAAGAAACTAAACAAAAAGAACACCAAAAGAAATATAAAATATTGAAGTGGAAAGAAAATTAGAAAAATAAATACATAACCTATACCTTGAATAATTAAAATACAAGAGAAGAATAAATTTAATACCTTGAAAAATGTTATTGCAAAATTTATTTCTCCTTTTAACAAACCCATACAAATGCTTTGATTCATAATTTCTCATGGTTACAATTTCCTTCTTTTCTACTTTTTTTTTTTTTCTCTCTTTGTTTCCAGCTACCTCCACTTCCATAGCTTTGTTCAAGTGACTCAAACTCTTAAAATCAATTAAACTCATTTTTAAAATGTTTAAAATTTTATTTTAAATCCTTTCAATTAGATTCCTTAAAAACCAAGTATTAGCCAATACAAATTTCCCAATATTATCCCATAATTTATCTAGATTAGCGTCCAATACACCATCCAACTAGGCCCTCACAAAGCTTCTAGAAGAGAGAATCTACACAAATCCTTCTTAATTCACTGTAATAGAAGAAGATTAAAGGAGGATTGAGGGTTTGATTAAGGTTGGGTTTCATCAAAGAAGAAAGAGGAATTCATATATTTTAAAAGAATATACTATAGTTACAATACTAATCATGACATGGTATTAAATAAGTATAATGTAGTCTTAAATAAATATATACATATAATATTACAAGTAGACTCTTAAATAAAAAAAATAATTATATAATGATATTTAATATTATAAATTTATAATATCAAGTGGCATTGTAATTATAACATTTTTGATATTTTAATCTACTAAAATGGAATAGCTCACATTAATTCTTCAATTGGATTTGTAATTTTTTTTTGTCTAGTCCTTGCTCTTTCATTTGTTTTACAATTTGGTCTTTTGTATTTTAATTTTTTATTTACTTTATTCATTATATATAACTATAGTATATTAAGTGGAGGTAAGACGGGAAGGCCTTACCCAAGGAGAAATCTTGGTTCCGCCATTGACTACAGTTATAGTATAGCACAGTTCAGCACAGTCACAATCACGGCTACAACAACAATACTTCACAACAATCTTAAATGCACCTTTAAATGTTATTTTAAAAGTTATTTTTAGGTTAAATTTTCAATTTGATCCCTCAACTATTGTATGGACCCCCAATTTGGTCCATAAACTAAAAAAATCTCTTATTTGGTCCTTATGGTTTATCAATTTAACCTCAGGTTGATTCTTCTATACAAAAGCAAATAACGTGTCTCATTATTAATGTGATACATGATAGTTAAGTAATAGTTTTTTGTCGTTAAGTAATGAACATGTTAGTTATTTTTTAACGGAAAGATCAACTTGGGGTTAAATTGGCAAATAGTGTGGACCAAATCAAGTGTTTATACAATAGTTGAGAGACCAAATTGGAAATTTTTTAAGTTTAAGGACCAAATTAAGGGTCTATACAATAGTTAAGGGACCAAAATGGAGGTTTAACTTATTTTTTAACTTTTCTCCTAACAAAATTTTAAATTTGTAAAGAATAATTTACTTTTTTAAACAAGTGATTTTTAAGCTTTCCCAAGCACCCTTAAGAACTGGGAAGCTGACCTTATTGAGTATTCCCATCCCTCTCTATTGTCCAACTCCAATGGTCTTTCTTGTCACGGCCTGGTTTATTTAGTAGCATCAATTATTGTAGCCTAACACATAACTCCTCCCAGCTGAGTGGTTGTCACCTCCAATTGAGATTCCATTGCCAAGAATTATTCACCCACGATTCGATCTCTGCCACTGTTTTGCTTTTATCTACAGAAAGACGAAAAAGTCTTGTGTATAGATCATCCAAACTACCGCTATTAATCCAAGCATCCTCCCAAAAGGAGATCTTCATTCCATTCCCTACCCTCGGCCAAAATCCCTCCTTTAACCAACCCCCTAAGCCACCACACAACCCATTAAATTAATCATGCCTAAAGAGTCTGCGTGTCAGGTGGTGGAAATAAAAAAAATTTAAGAGAGTTGGCCGCAGTAGGGACATTACTTCTCTTTTTGAAAAACTCTCCAATGCTAGAGAACAATGCCAAAATTTTGTTTCTGTCTAACTTTAAAGAGGACAATGAGAGAAAACTCCCGTTATACATGTTCTTAAAATCCAATCCAGAACAAGCATGTCGGTTGGATCTTTAAGGTTGGGTCCAATTTTGTGAGATATAACTCGCTGGAACCGCTAATTCGCTATAGCGCTGAAAAGCATTTGTCTTTGCTTCTTATCCTTGCTTCCCCCCAGAACTTTTGGGCCCGAAAGGGCCACGGACCACCCAAATGGACCCTACTCGGAAACTTCAGAGCAATTGCCCAAAGTCCCAAACTAACACCCTCGCCATTTCTTCAAAATCCCGATTCCTCCCAACCAAACAAACCGCTAAAACAAACATGGAAACGGACAACCAATCTCCCAAACACATCTTCCTCCTCTCCGGTCAGAGCAACATGGCTGGCCGCGGCGGCGTCTCCAAACACCACCACTGGGACGGAGTCGTCCCTCCAGATTGCAATCCGCACCCTTCCATCCTCCGCCTCAGCGCCAAGCTCCACTGGGAGCCTGCGCGCGAGCCTCTCCACCACGACATCGACACTGGCAAGGTGTGCGGCGTGGGTCCCGGAATGTCGTTCGCTAACGCCGTGAGGGAACACGTGGGAGGCGGATGCCTGGGTCTGGTGCCGTGCGCGGTGGGTGGCACCGCCATCAAGGAGTGGGCGCGTGGGGAGCAACTGTACGAGAGTATGGTGAAGAGAGGTAAAGAGAGTTTGAAGAGTGGGGGAGAGATCAGGGCATTGCTTTGGTTCCAAGGAGAGAGCGACACATCGACGCAGCATGATGCTGAGGCGTACCAGGGGAACATGGAGAAATTGATCCATAATGTGCGTGAGGATCTTAATTTGCCTTCACTTCCCATCATTCAGGTAGGTGTCATTTTAGTTTCATTTTCAAACAATTTAAATGCATTTTTCAGTCACACCAAGCACTTATTTTTCTAGGCTATTTGGTTGAGTGGAAAATGATATATGAATAAATTATAAAAATTCTGTTTTACTGTCCATATTGACGGTAAAACAGGAACTGTTTGATGGAAGGCCCCACTATGAGAGGGTCAACCTCTATCAAACAGTTAGTGTTTTAAATTTGGATTAGTTTGTCCCGTAAAATTTTTATTTTTTGATAAATTATTTCTATAATTTTTCTTTACATAATTAAGATCTCATTAAATAACTAGATATGTATAATAAGAGAAATTGTTGTGGAGTTTGAATTGTATAATAGTGAACAACTATAATCATTAGATGAGATGGGTCTCTTGATATGGAATTTCTCTCAACTAATGATTTTGTTTTATAATTTAAATTGTTTTTTTTTTTATCTTGGTTGCACAATAAGATGTAACTATCTTCCAATATTTTATCTCATTCTACTTATATGTCATGCGACTCGAACTCAAGACCTTTTACTCTCAACGAAAAGAGATAACCATTGAAATATTTAGTTACTTAACAATGGAAAACAGTATATTTTATATAATATTAGAGTTTTAATAGAGTAAAAAAACCATGATCAAACAAAGATGTAAGGCAATGGAAAAAAGTTGGTACATTTTCTCCTGATTAGTTGTTTGTGAATAATTCGTATCTAATTGACAGTTATAGCATATCCTAAAAGTGAATGTTTTTTTGCTTATGAAAAAAAAGTAAGCAGCAGACACTAATAACCTTGTGTATGTCGCATGATGTTAATTTGCACTTTTGTAGGTTGCAATAGCATCAGGAGATGCGAGGTACATGGATAAGGTGAGAGAAGCACAGCAGAGGATCAATCTTCCCAATGTGGTGTGTGTTGATGCCAAGGGGCTGCCTTTGAAAGAGGACAACCTTCACTTAACTACAGAAGCTCAGGTTAAGCTTGGCCATTTGCTGGCTGATGCCTACCTCTCCCACTTTGCACCTTCTCCATCTTCTCTTCCTTGACTTTATAGTTGGGCTAAATAAAATGCTTGATAGAAGCCCATCTTTGTATCTGACTTTTGAGCTTTTCTTCTGGCTCAGTGGGTCTAATGATGTATGTCTATCCTCTTTGTTTTTTTCTTTTTTTTCAACGAAGTGTTTTTGAAGTCCACCATTAAGAAAAAACAGAAATGTCAATAAAATTATTTAAATATTTTTATTAAATTACTTATGCGTATGTATTTATTAATAGTATTTATATCTTTTTATAGATATTCTTGTACTCTTTGGTAAGGCAACTAGGAAAATCTGCCGTCTTTTTTATTTTAATTTTTTTAATGAGAATATCTATTCAATTATGAGAGTTTGACTAAATTAATATTTATTAATTTAAAATTTTTAATTTAGGATTAATGTTAGGGGTTTAAATTTTTACAATGTCAATTATTTAACACTTGAAACTATTACCATAAACTAAAAAAATATTATGAACTATTATGATCTAGGATCTACTTACTTTTATGCAAGTTATTAGTTTTAAATTTTTAAATCCAACAATTTAAAGTAGAGTTTTTATTTAAGGGTTTTTGTTTTATAGTTTGTTATAATATGAATTGTAAAGAGTTTTTTAAATCATATATTACTAAATATAACACTTATCATTTTAAATAGATTTAGAAGGTAAAAAATTCTGTTTACTCTTTTGAAGTCTAATTTAGTTTTCTCATTTACTAAATAGAGGTGATCTAAATTAATTGTCATAATTTTTATTGAGTGCTTTGTTTTATAGGTTAGAGTTTTCAGACTGTATTCAACTATAAAATAAATGCCATTAAATAAGGGTAAGGTCCCCAATTCAGGGGCCTACTTCTATTTAGTGATTAAGATTGTGTAATTCAGTGTAATTTAATGTAATTTGAATTGTAAAATACTTTTTTTTTTCTATTTTAAGAAGATAGTACTTGTAAATGGTACTTCTTCTATTTAACTTTAGTTAGACAAAAAAAAAAAAAAAAGTCTTATTAAAGTTAAATGGAGAGAGTAGTATTTTAACTTTACTCTTTATCCAAATGAGATAAAAATATGTTAGGTTTTTTGGGATTTAATTATGAGTAAGGCTAATATTAGAAGGATAGGCTTAAATTCTTGTAATAATTGAGATTTTTTTGATGATGGAGAATGGGTAAATTTTTTTGTTTTATCTTAATTTATACAATGAAATGAAAGGATTGTGAAGATAATATTTTTTTAATTCATTTTACAATTATATTATACAACTCATATTTAAATTGTTTTATTTTTTAAAAACTTATCATTAAATTATTCAAATTATTAATAAAACAATTAAATCCATAAGATAAAATATACAAAACTTCTACTTAATATGTTTGTAAATGGGTGGTCACCCATTTGGTACATTCAAATAAAATAGTTTGTCACTTATTTTTTAAATGAAAATACCTTATATTTAAAGTTCGAAACCTTAAGATGGCTTTTTCCCTTCCCATAGAATAGGATTATTTATAAACTTGTTAGGTAAAAAAACAAGAAAAAATGGCCACCCCTCCATGGTTTGCTTTGTCAGCTGTTATAGTTTAAGCTCAGGCTAATAATATGTTTTTGGTACTACCAGGTAGTTTAAGCTGACACGTGAGTAGACTAATTATTAAATTTAGCCTCCTAATCCTAGAAACTCAAGAATTAAAAAAAGTAGGGTTTGACTGTTGGAGGAGGCATGTT